AAAAAAAAAAAAAAAAAAAAAAGAGCTGATTGCCGTGCATTATTCTCCACATATAGCGCTGTCTGAACCCCAAACATGTTTTGTCAAAAAAGCCGGTTTTGTCCACTTTCAAGGCATCGTGAGTTCACGTTTTACTGCAGAAGCCGACAAGCGCCCTTGTTGTTTTTGGACAGAAGCCGATATGTCCAATTTAGCGAATCAGCGCGCTGTATTCAGGTCAGGTGGCAAGGCTACTTTCACTTTGAAAAGACGTGCTGCTAGCTGAGAGGATTTAAGGCATATGGAGGGATTAATAACCATCGCAGAAATTTTTGTGCCATCATCAACTTTCTCTATTCAAATAACAGCTAATAGACTTCGTAGTAATTCATTCACTATGAACATGTAAAAGTTTGCAGTATTTAGGATATTTGCCATGTATTTTAAATAATAATACTAATACAATATAGTCAGCATTAAATTACTAAGCAGTTTGATGAACTTTCTGGCCTTTCATTCGAACACTTGCAGGTCCAAATCCTCATCTTGGTTATGCGTCTCACCAGGAAATCTGCCTTCAATCTTCAGTCCCCTCTAAAACGAGCAGCTGCTTTCACTTCCCTTTTAATATTTGATAAAGAATCACTTAATATGCCACGAGCTCTGTATGGTCCAACACAGGGGCTGCTGGGGAGGCAAGAGACGCTGGTACACTGATCTTCAGTCCCATTGTGAATGAAATGATTGCCGTTTACGGCGATGCTGATCTCCAGCCAACACGCCTTGGCATAACGGATCAGTGACGTACGGTTCCATACAGTCCGCCGAACGTGTTTCAATAAACACGGTACAAGACGCAGCGGCTAGCAACATGCACACCTCTCACGTGTGAGAATAAGCAAATGCGGAATTCACTTAGTGTGTGTGTGTGTGTGTGTGTGTGTGTGTGATGCCAAGTTTGCGTTTTACACAAAGGCAGTTAAAGTGCAGTGATATGCCTGCCGCAGAGAGCATTAGAGAGGGATGAAAATATGAATTCTGAGTATGACGCTATGCAGGCTAAATCATTGATGTCTAAATCAAACACGCGCGCGCGCACAGTAGCATACGTTCTCATATACTTACATGCACAAAGAAATCAGACAAAACAAGACGCAATGTACTGACGTGAGAGAGCAGCCCCCACAGAAGCAAACATTTCATGCAAATATCCTCTACGCGGGCGTAAGAGAAATATGAAAGCGCGAGCGTGCAGAGAAACACACGGAATGCATTTATTCACACGTACCCCATGGGACCATGTGGAAGGAAGGAGGCCTAATAATCAACAGCATAATAATGGAATGCACACTGACACACGCATACGCTCGCATGCACAGACGCACAACTGAACAGGGTGTTTGCAAAAAGCACATTCATAAGTGTCTGTAACTACATGGCGCAGCAAGCCAAAAACCCGTTACGCTACACACGTCTGTTCCTGTAACCTAAAAAAAGGTGTCAGGATCCACACAACCGATTTGTCTGGGCAATCTTTTCCTTCACCAGACACAGTTCACACAAACACACACACACACATTCCCTCTCTCACTTTATGTCTGTGCCCATGTGCTGAAGCCTGGTGTGATTGCGTAGCGCGCAGCCAGTCTCTTCATCAGCTGATCACTCAAAACGCACAGCCCAAAAGGGGGGTGAAAAGCGCCCAGTTTTTCATACACAAATCAATTGCCGTTAGGATGTTGAGAGAGAGAGAGAGAGAAAGGAATAACTGCGAGATGCCTTTCTGTTAGTTTGTCCCTGTGGAAGGGCCTGCAGCTCGCTTTTCTCTCTCTCTCCCCCCACTCTCTCTTTCACTCTCACTCACTGCATGTTTTAATATCGACTGTCGCAATCTGGTTTCTTTTCCTTTTTTCCTTTCCCCCTCTGCCTCTCTTTTATACTCTTGTTCAGTCTTTTTTAACCGCCCCTCTGTTAAAAGAAGCGGGCTCCATTTTTGTGCCTATGCAGATGTTTTTTTGCAAGCTTTACTGACATCTTGAGAGGATTCCAGGGTTGTTAATGTGTTGCACACTCTCTCAAACACACATGCACATAAATTAACTAATGGCATGTTTGTATCTGCGTCTGGGAGCTTTTACAACAGAAAAAAAACAGAGATTCTGGTGAAAACATTTGGGGCTATAAATATTACCAGATAGTCCAAACATAATACTTCTGTCTGCTTCCCTTTGAGAACTGAGACTAATAACTTCTCAAAGAGACTAAAAAGTAGTTTCACATGTAGCTCACAGATGTGGCATATGCTTAATTATCCTTATGCTGTATTATTGTAAGGGCTCAGTGGTGTCCTAATATTACTTAGAATGTATTCTTGTTCAAATATGATCGGATGATGGCAGACCTGAGACACATTTATTTTGAAACAATGTTGCTGAATTGGTATGGGTGTGAAAATGTGCTGTATAACTAACTAAAAACATAAATAAAAAACAATAGATAACTGAAATGGTCAAAACAGACCTTGAGATAAAGCTGAAAAATTTGTGCCGGGGACACATACACCAATAAAAATAAAACTGGCCATGTGTGTATCATATTTCTACTTAAAAGTAATCTCAGCAATAAACCATAATAACTCTACATGTGAACAGCAAAATAACATACAAGAGGTTGTGATAGTAAGTAAAATCGGCTCTATATAATGTAATGTGTTATCAATTTTTGCATTATGTAATCTGGTTTTAAATCCATTATGAAAGTTCATTTTAATAAATTGCCAACATTTTCTATGAGGCTAAATTGCCATCTGTCCTCAGAAATCCCTGTGATGAGTCATATTTCTGCTTTCAATATTTTCCATAATAATTTTCATGAATGAAATATGCCTCTTAAGAGTCTGTATAAAATCAGATGCAGTTTTAAGATGCAACGTCATTCATGTAAATTTGCCATGCCAACAGCTTCATTACAAAAGCCATTGTTTGATTTATCAAATAATCTTATATTTCTAACAAGCCTCTGAGAAGTATCAATATAGTTTTTTTACGGAAGAGCACATTTTTAGTGTATGCGTGTGTTGTGGTATGATTACATGCTGTCATAATTTTACATTTCATATGCATGTTTTGCTATCAGGTCGACAAGGGCATTTTGGTAAAACATCTCAGGCTGTTACTATGGCAACACCACGTTTTACTGACTGCAGACCACACAGAGCTGTAATGCTATAGCATTCCATCACAAAACACAGACACACACTTTGTCGGACACACTGAGCTGAACATTATCAAACACAATGAGCCACTGAGCTACATGAAGATGAGCTAAAATCCAAAGACATGCTGAAGTATAATCAGTGAAGATTTATTCAAGTTAATGTAAGTCAATGCATGCATCTTATATAGGTAATGTGTCAGGTATCAGTATTCCAACACAAAAATATAGCTGTAATATATCAAAAGCTACACAAAAAAAGCAACCCTTCTAAGCTAATCTAAATGAATGCAGCCTTTAAAATCAATTTCTCACCACAAGATATTGTTTGTGTAATAATATGGGCTGTATTTTATCTGACAGCCATCTTTTTCAGTACAGCTGCACTGATTCTACATAAGTATTGAATGTCAGCTGTTGTCCTTTTCACATGTTATTCTTTCCTTATTCTTAAATAAAAATGTCCTTCATTTTGTGAAGAATATCTTTTGTCATGTTAACAATTGCAAACATGATTGTGTAACTTCAAAAATGCTCAGACTGATTGTCATTATGCAGTAGAATGTAATGGCATAAAAAGATTTCATTTAAAAGACTAGATCTCACAAAAATCAATTAAAAAAAACTGTCATCAGTTGCTAATAATTTCCCCTCCCCCTATTTGGAACACAAAATATGGGGGGAAAAAGGTACTGGCTGCTCTTTTTCATGCAGTTACAATGAATGGGAAATGTAGTTTTAAAGCTTTAAAAAATCATGAATAAAAATGGGGGGAAAAAAGGTTGGCCAGTGGTTATTTACATAATGACAAAATATGATGTCTAATATTTTGTATTTTTTGTAACTGAAAAAAAAAAGCAAGATGCAATGGCAAAAGACATCCGTCTGATACACATAGACGCAGATATTTTTGAATTGTCTGATGTATTTTTCAGCCTCATGGCTCTCAAGAGATCCTCTCATAAGATTTGTGATATGCCACTGAAAAGCAGTATCATAAAAGTGGTCCATTACTACTTGTGCTCTATGCAAGTATTTGGAGTTTCATCATGTTTTCATATCCAATTGTAACAAATGAATTTGAAATGACAAGCTCTAAATTCAGATGATGTCTGAACAATCAAACGGCCTTCACACTGCATGGCATTTCTTATCAGGGTAATAATTACCCATCTGTTTGGGTTGGGACACCACAATTCTCTACTGGGTTAAGAAGAGCAGATCATAGTCAAATGACATATGTTCACATATCCAGACCAGTTTCTATAAATGCCTCGCTGAAAGCATTCTAAGCAGCTGTAATATATGCCTCAAGAAGGCCAGGTGTTTTCAAAAGCCCCATTTTCTGTAATTTCATCTAAAAAAAAATATACAGCACAGGCAAAGATCAAAATGTTTATATATTTTGTCTTCCGAGGGACCAGCTAAAGTTCCTCACGAGGAGAACAACTTAATGAATAATGAATGTCAATATGAAATTCCACAGAATTTTCACATTTCTGTTGTTTCATTTACATGGTAAAACCACGGCACTTGGTACTTAATTATTACTATATTCATGTTACCATGGTGCTTTTTACATGGTAATGCCATTGTACGTTTGGTATTTTCGTGTAATGTTTTGATACTCCTTTGGTCGGAAAATGTCTTTACCTGCAGTAGTTCACTACATATACAGGTGTTGAACTAGACAAAGACCTACTTCATCGCTGATAAACGAAAGATTAATTCTAGGCAAATAATCACTTCCTGCGATCTTGTGGTTCTGTTTTAAAGCATTATCTTAACCGTTTCACGGAGTGAGAAATGATCAATTCAATCAGTGTGTGAACAGCATGTGAGCAGTCGAGAGCAAAACGATTTAGATCTTAGTTTGGCCGATTAAAAAGAACCCATTCAATTTCACTCATGAATCACTGGTTCAGATTCTAATCGAACACATGATTTTCGTCCGTTCGATTGTTGCAATAATAATAATAATAATAATAATAATAATAATAATAAATAAATAATATTACTTTGGAGATTTGTTCCTCAGAGAACGACCTTCCTCATGTCTGCTGATCATCTGCAGTCCAGCTTTTCACCATTAGATGGCATTATAACTGTATGAACTCTACAGATCTAGAATACAACTTGAGAGCAAAGTAATGCAATATTTGCAGTAAACACAAGGTGGTGATATAATCACATTTATTTACGTAGGCTATATATGAACATGACATTTACATTTCATTCATTTTTATTAAGAGTTCTTAAAATCTATATTTTTAGATTTTGGAAATGAATAGTGTATACTTGGTAATATATATATATTACAAGAAATTAAATCAAGCTTTTAAATGTGGAAAAAAGGTTTATAATCCTAAAATGCATAAAATGTATATATCACCTAAAATGAATACAAAAAATTGTTTTGACATGCAGTTTACTATTATAGTATAACAGTTTTGAGTTAATATATAGGTCTTTTTTACGGTCAGTCTGCATAAATTGTATTTTTATATCTGGGAAATATAACTGTCAGTAAATAAGAAAATAGATGATGTGGCTTATACTGCCAACAGTGAGTGCACTGCACTTTTAAAATGACTGCTCTCTTTAATATTACACCTCATTACACTGTATGAAAAACGCAACCTGTCATACTCATCTCAGTCATATGATTGAACAGGTAGTTCAGAGGGGATGTCTGAATGGATGAAGAGAGCA